ATTGAACACATCAATTAGGTTCTTACCGGGCCCGGTACATAGGTCAAAACCAAATCATCGAGGGGCCCAAATATCGCTTCTATTTCTAGAAGGAACAGATAAACTTCTACTGATATGCTTCTACTAACTACTTGTTGAATTACTCACAAAGCCACGTTTTATAACATCGAGTTACCAATGCATTTTCATCCAATCAATGGATAACCAACTCATATTGAACAACTCATATCTCTAGGTTTGAAGATTTATATGATATTACCATCTCACGATCACTCGAGATAAATTCCATGAAGTGATGCAAGTGAGCGTGGGTTGAATCCAATACTCATCCCTTATGAGTACTCATAAATGTTGTAGCAACCATTGGATTGTCTAAATCACTTTAGACAAATCATACAAGCCAAATTCATGACATTCTTGAATCAAGACTTACTTCCAAAGTTTGACTGATTGTGGATGGTTTGAATAATAACATGATTATTCTGGAAGTAAAAACATGCAAAATTGAAACATAGTAAACAATCAACACAAGATAGTAACAGCTTACCCATAAATAAATAACAACTTTTATTTATCATCAAATGTTAATTACATTTTACAAGTTTTAGGAATCTAATTATTGAAACTAATATCATCCTTTAGCCCAATGCGCCTTGCATGCTGTAAATACTTAACCCTGCTCAGTCCCTTCGTGAGGGGATCTGTTGATACCCTATTTGCAACGAGGAGTCTTTCTTTTATTCTATGTCTGATGAAATAGTATTTTCTGTCAATGTGCCTAGATCTCCCGTGATCTCTTGGTTCTTTAGCCAAATCAACCGCACTTTCACTGTCACAGAAAATTTCCATTGGCTCCTTTATAGCAGGTACAACTCCAAGGTCTCCGATGAAGTTCTTTAGCCATATCGCCTCTTTTGCAGCCTCACTTGTTGCTTTGTACTTTGATTCACAAGTTGAATCAGCTACTGTCTCCTGCTTGGAACTTTTCCAAGTGATTGCTCCTCCATTTAGGATAAATACCCAGCCTGATTGAGAGTGGAAATTTTCTGGTGGTTGTCGAGGCCAACACAAATAATAACCCGAAATATTACACACTAAAATAGTGTATAGTGGTAAAGGGATCAAATGCACGGAGATTGGTTCAATTTGATAACTCTATGAAAAATCTCTTTGTAAAAATACTTGGAATATGACAATAAATTAAAAATGGGGGTTTTGATGTTTTGAAAATACTTGAAACAAACTAGAATTAACTATGATTTAAATAGATAATTGCAACAAAAATAAGAATTTGATGTAAAATCATTAAGGGAGAGATGGTTGACTTAAAGTTTCCTCACTTTGAATTTTGATGAACATATCATTAGAATCCAATAGTGCGATACTTTGATTTAAATCTTTAATTTGGTTATAGTAATCCAAGGAGCTTGATATTACCTAGACTTTTATTAATTGTTGAAATGGCTAGAGAAGCTCAAAACAATTTCCTTAGTCAAAGTTACTAATTCCAAATAGCATGTAATTAGTGAAAGTCAACTAGCATTAAGAACCAAAAAAATCACCAAATCCAAGAGGAGTCAATTGCTTTCACCACCATGTTGGAGAAATTGTTTTTATGATTGTGTGAAGCAAAAACAACACAAAAATCACTTGTTGCTTGCTAATTTGAGGATCATTTACTTAATCAAGAAATTAGCCAACTAATCACCACAAACAAATTTAAACTCATGAATAAAAACATACTAGTAGTGATAATATGATGAAACACAAAAAATTTCCATAAAGATTCAAGAACAAGTTCATAGATTCTTCAACATCCAACAAAAGTTCAAAGGATTCAACAAAAAGTCAACCAAGATTTGTTTAGCCAAGCATGGCTAAACTCAAATGAACAAAGTTAGATAAGATTGTACCAAACATTTGACAAGATTCAAGAGGTGAAAAGAAGATGTTCTTCAAGTGTTCTTGGCCACCAAAAGTGCTCCAAACTCCAGAGAGAAAAGCTCAAAATCGGACCTCCAAGATTATCCTAAAGAGGCACACCAACCTTCCCAATATAGAGCTCTAAGCAAAATCCCGAAATTGCCCTTGTCAGGAATCCACGCGGGCCGCGGGGAATCTTACGCGGGCCGCGGGTACTGACGGGAATTTTTGGGCTTCTTCAAGTCTTGGGCCCCCACAGCTAATCCATTGGCCCAGTTCGAGTCCAATCAGCTTCTAGCCCATTTTTCTTCATTGTTTCTTCAATTTGAGCCCAATTTGTCTTTCCACATCACTCAAAACTTCCGCAAACTCCCAAATATTGATCTTGCATACTCAAGAATTCTCCCACATCTTTCAAATTTAAAATTCAATTCTTCCAAGCCTTCAAGCAATTGACAAGTCCACCGCATGAATCACCTTCATAGCCATCAAGCATGAAATCTCCAATTCCCTTCGAGCCCAATCGCCTCCCAAGAACGCTGCCCCGCTAGTTTCCAAGAAAATCTGCAATAATGCTCAAGAAACTAGAAAGTACCCCGAAATGGTCATAAAAATAACAAATGGGAAAATATGCATGAAATTTAACTAAAATGCGAATGAAATGTACTAAAATAAACTATAAAAAGAAGTAAATAAAATGAAGCTATCAAATCACCCCAAGCTTAAACGTTACTTGTCCTCAAGTAAGACAAGACTAAATGAACTTGGGATGAACTACCCTATAAATAAAAAGAATGGATAGAACCATGGAACCTGTTCGACGTTAGTCAACATGGTCAGAATTGATTTCGCTGCTATCTCACAACTTTTTCATCCGATGACAATGGAACCATAAACCACAGCCAGGACAACTCCTTTAGGTGAGTAAGGAGGGATGATCAGTCGCAACCTCAATGGAACATGTATACAATGAAGAACATCTGTAGTAGGGAGAAAGCAAGTGGATGGGCTCAGGTGGAGCTCTTCTTTAAGTGCACACTCTGATCTCACATCTGCCGGTTTCTCTCATGTGTAACTAGGTTTAAACGCTCGGGCACCGTTGTAGGAATCAGTTCACTTAGTGTTGGCCCAAACCTCCCGTAGTATCCGACTCGACAGTCTCTCTAACATCACCAATTTGTGAGAAAGAAAAAAATAACATCTCGATCTATATACAATAAAACAGACCTATACAAATGAATATCCAACGTCGGCTGACCAAGATGTTGGGAAATTTGTTCAATAATTGAACCGGCCAGCTATCTAAGATAGTTGCAACTGAAAATTTGCGTGCTTCATTCTGTTTTTGTTTTTGTTTTTTTTTTTTGATGAGAAAACCCTTTGACTCAAAATTTGGATCCCAAAGGTGTGTAGGTGGAACCAAAAGGGTAATGTTATAATCCGAATGGCCTAAGTGTAAAAATGACCATGTGTGGAGCATAAAGATGTAATGTAAGCTCCTTTTCAAACTTGTGGTTTTTCAAAGATAATGAAAATGTCCAAATGTGGACTAAAAGACTCTCTAAAATTCTAAGAAAATCGCAAAAAGATATGGTGATCTAAAGAGACCGGATATGGATTCTACTCGGGGACAAGCACCAATGCTTCATCCTAACAGTTCAAACATGATCAAGTGTGATCCTCTCCGCGGTAGTGATCGCAAGGCTAAGAACACCCATTGCTATAGTATATCCTACAGTTGTTAGTATTGTATGCATAATTCTTCATGAAACTACCTGGCCATGATCACTTACCCCTTTAAGCTACCAGCATCTGATCCCAAGTATGAAATCCCAAACTGCAGCTAGTGGTCCCGATTCGATGGGTGAGATAGCAACAAGATCCTGGACCAATAGTGATACAATAACTGTGAACCTGTTCCATGGCATCCAAGAGAGGTGAGAATAAACAGACAACAAAAATGCATGAATGCTAATACCTTAAGCTAAATGTTATGCAAAAATAAAAAGTGGAAAAGAAGAAAATAAAATCTTTTTTTTTTTTTGAAATTTTGTAAAATAAAAAAAAAATGAATGTAAATTAACATAAACTACTATGTTATGCAACCTAACTAAAAATGCATGAAAAAGTAAAAAAAAAAAAAAATAAGGGAAATGCCCCACCCCAAGCTTAAGAACAAGCATTGTCCTCAATGCTTAAGGAAAGGGTGGAAAGGACCTAAATTGGAGGGTCGGGCGGTGGGAAATTCCCGTGACGATAATGGTAGTCCCGCATATCTTGGACCTGGCGGGAAGTCGAAGGGAAGGGCTGCTCCAATCGGTCAACGCGACTCGCTACATCTTGGATGGCTCTTGTATTCTCTTGCGTTTAGGTGTCGATACGCTGCACCGTGGAGAACATTGTGGCAAATTGGTCAAAGAAAGTAGGGGGGAAATATGGTGGAACTTCATATCCCCCTGCTGCTGCGGCTGAAACTGATGCTCGACGAACTGCTGTGCAGGCTGAAACTGGGGCTCGGCGAATTGCTGTGCAGGCTGAAACTAGTCATCCTCATCATCTACAGGTGGAGGGTAGTCTGATGGAATGATCCATTGATCGGGACCGGTCGGCTCAAAACTCCCTATATACTCATGGGGGAGAATGAGGTATGGTTGGTTATCAAGGATCCACATGGGCCCGACAACCGAATCCCGGATGAGTTGCATTCGGCGAAGTGCGTTGCCGTCAAGACTAGAGGGGCCGGAAGCCTTCTCGAATGGAAGAGTAGAGAGATGAAGTTGAAGCGGTGGTTGGGATGCAATGAGGGTGATTAATCCCCCAATGAAAATGTCTTCTTTGTCCATAGTTGTGAGGTTGTAACACTTGGTGAAGAAAAAGGAGGCAAAATCCGGCCGCGGACCGTTCTCACGAGTCATGCACCAAAGAAAAAATAATTCCGCCTTTGAAATCTGTCCCACTTCGAAGCGGGCGAAAATGGTGCATGTGAGAACTCTATGCGCTAGGCGCAAACATGGGTGAATTATGGAGGAGGCCTTTGATGAAGACGATGAATATTGTGGCTCATTGGTAATTTGTTGTCAAAAGTAATGTTCATTGAAGTTTCCGGGCCATGGGTCTTGTTGGTAATATAGGTTGTCCACTGGAGCACCCATCAAAGCATTCACGACCCGATGTGGTAGAGATCGTTTCTTGCCGAGGATTTGGAAGGTGACGGTTTGGGCTTCCTCCTCGGGATTGAAAGTGGTAAGAAATTCCAAGGTGGGTTCAACATAGGTGGCGGCGCGGTTATGGAGGAATTGACCCCACTCGATGTTGTTAAATAACGCTTGGACTCCATCGACTAGGAAAAGATTCCCTATGGAGGAATTTTGTTTACTTGACTTGACGCTTATTTGAAACGAGAAAATCATAAGTTTTACGATCCTCACGATTCAACAAACAAAACGGGGGATCCTTGGATTTTCCCTTCGACCCTCCTTTAGAGGAAGTTGCTCCCGTCCCCGTTTTTGCGCGCTTGAACATTTATTCGGGGCAAAATTTTACCGATAATAACATTCAACCACAACAAAGGCACACAATACCAACAACAAATGGGAAATTGGGGTATGAACAATCAAGTTAAAAGAATGAGATTACCCAATTTATTAGACCCCGGGATGAACTAGTGCCACCAAAAATATTTCATCAAGACGCACCCCAAGCTTGCAAGTTTGCTCCGTATTTGATGCTTTAATCGCTAAAACAACCCCACAAACTAGCTTCAAGATGACTTTCCGGCGAATGGAGTAGCGGTACCCCAAATTTGACGGAAATTTTTCGTGAGTTCTTGCGGAAAGATTTGTATGACTAGAAAGCTCTTGATGAGAGAAACAAAACCCCATGCTCGGATTCTCCAATGGTGGCCGGAGTTGGCCGGAAAACGCGAAAATAGGTGGTGGTGAGTGGTGGTGGCGCCCGGAATTCCGGCCACAGATCGGACCGGAATTTGGGTGGGGTTTGTAGAGGAAGAAAAATGGAGAAGAATGGCGGTGGTTTCGTGAGATTCCGACCTGTAGAACATCGGGAAAATGGATTTTTGTGAGAAGTGGGTTTAGTGTTCTTGAGCTTCTAGAGAGAGAATGGGGGAATTGGCTAGGTTAGAATGAAGAAGAAGAGTATTGGAGGTGTTTAATCTTTGCTCAAAGAGGGTCAAACCCGGTCAATGTTTGGTCAACTCATTAAATCTCTTGGTGAATGAAAGCCAAGGCAGTCAACAGCTCAAAATCTCAGTCAAACGACCAACACGCGGGCTGGGCGCGGGCCGCGTGATGGCCGCGTCTAGCATCCTCGAATTATTCTGACCTTACGTGCGGGTGGAGCTCGGGCCGCGGGCTGGCCTCGGGTACTGGTTCACTCAAAAAGAAATCTCTAAGTCTTTCGAAAACCCACGCGGGTAAGGTGCGGGCCGCGGGCTGGCTGCGTGTACTGAACTGAATTTGAGCTTAATCCCACGCGGGCTAGACTCGGGCCGCGGGCTGGCCGCGTCTACTTGCTAGAAAACTTTCTGATCTCTCACGCGGGCAAGGCTCGGGCCGCAGGCTGGCCGTGGGTACTTTTGCACATCAAAAATGAGAGTTTTCCAAAACACTTGATTTTTTAAGCCAAAACGATCCCCTTAAGGCCCAATAAAAAATTTTGACAAAATTTGGAGTAAACGGGGAAAATTTGGTGAAACCTTTCAAAAATTTATTTGAATTCCAAAAAAAATGCTTTGCAAAATGGTTTATTTGAATTAAAAAAAATGGTGAAAGCACATTGCATTCCAAAAATGCCCTTCTTTATCGTCTTTAGCGAGACGTCCTTCTAGCTCTCTTCAACACATCGGGACATCCAAATGGATGACTTCAAGGGCATTAGCATTGAAACCTTCATAGAATGGCTTCAACCAGTGCCCATTGACTTTGAAGGTTTGTCCCGTCTTTTCGCTTTGAATTTCCACCTCCCCATGGTTAAAGGTCTTAATCACAACGAAAGGTCCAATCCATCTTGACCTTAGCTTGCCTGGAAATAACTTCAATCGTGAATGGTATAGTAAGACCCTATGCCCCGCCTCAAAATGCTTCCGGGAGATGGACTTGTCGTGGAAGAGCTTTTTTTTCTCCTTGTAAATCCTTGCGTTCTCATAGGAGTCGTTTCTCAATTCTTCTAGCTCTTGAAGTTGAAGTTTCCTATGTCTTCCCGCCATGTCAATGTTGAAATTGCATTGCTTTACCGCCCAAAATGCACGGTGCTCTACCTCGATGGGAAGGTGACATGGCTTTCCAAAGACCAACCTAAACGGGGACATTCCTATCGGGGTCTTGTACGCAGTCCGATAAGCCCATAAAGCATCGTCAAGTCTCAAACTCCAATTCTTCCTTGTCGGATTCACTGTTTTCTCTAGAATAGACTTCACTTCACGATTTGAAACCTCCGCTTGACCATTCGTTTGAGGGTGATAGGCTGTGGAAACACGATGGGTCACATGGTACTTCTTCAATAGAGCCTCCATCATTTTGTTGCAAAAGTGTGTCCCTCTATCACTAATCAAATTCCTAGGCACACCAAACCTTGCAAAAACATTAGACTTTAAAAACTCGATAACCGTTTTGGCATCGTCTGATCTTGTGGCTTTTGCTTCAACCCATTTAGAAACATAGTCAACCGCGAGTAAAATGTAAACGTTGCCAAATGAGATGGGAAATGGGCCCATGAAATCAATCCCCCATACTTCAAAATTTTCACAAACAAGGATTGGATTTTGGGGCATTTGGTTTTTATGCGAAATGTTTCCCGTCCTTTGGCATCGCTTACAACTTTTGCAAAACATATAACAATCGCGTGACATGGTTGGCCAAAATAAACCACACTCAAGGACTTTTCTCAAAGTCCGGCTAGGTCCAAAGTGTCTCCACAAGCGAATTCATGGCAGAATTGCAAAATGGATTGGTGCTCTTGTTGGGGTACACATCGCCTAATGATTTGATCGGGACAATGTTTCCATAAATAAGGCTCATCCTACACATAATATTTTGCATCATTTTTCAACATGTCTTTTTGAGCACGTGTCAATGTGTCGGGATACCTTTTTGTGACCAAAAAGTTAACGATATCGGCATACCAAGGAATATATTGAGTAAGGGAAAACAGATGCTCATCCGGAAACTCATCCCACAACGGGAGAGGAGTTTCGTTTGAAGTGATCCGGCTTAGATGATGGCCACAAGGTTCTCGCACCCGCTCTTGTCCCGGATTTCCAAGTCAAATTCTTGTAACAGTAGGATCCATCGGATGAGTCTCGGCTTTGCATCTTTCTTTGTCATCAAGTACTTGAGAGCCGCATGATCCGAATACACTAGGACTTTGGTGCCAAGTAGATATTGTCGAAACTTCTCCAGAGCAAACACTATGGCCAATAGCTCCTTCTCTGTGGTAGAGTAGTTGCTTTGAGCATTGTCTAGTGTCCTTGATGCATAATAGATCACATGGGATGCCCTCCCGTTCTTTTGACCCAAGACGGTGCCTATCGCGTAATTGCTTGCATCACACATGATCTCAAAGGGAAGATCCCAATTTGGTGCTTGCATGATGGGAGCGGATGTAAGCAACTCTTTAAGCTTGTCAAAAGCTTCTTTGCACGCCTCGTTGAACTCAAAATCAACGTCCTTTTCCAAGAGCTAGCACATTGGTCTTGTTATCTTTGAAAAATCCTTGATGAACCTTCAGTAGAAACCTGCATGGCCCAAAAAAGAACGAACTTCCCGAACACGTCGGGGGAAGGTAAGCTTTGAATAACATCAATTTTGGCCTTATCTACCTCAATTCCTTTTTTAGACACAATGTGACCCAAAATGAGACCTTGACTCACCATGAAATGACATTTCTGAAAATTCAAAACCAAGTTTGTTTCAATGCATCTTTTTAAAATTTTTTGAGATTGGTCAAACATTCTTGAAAAGAGTTTCCATATACCGTGAAATCATCCATAAAAACCTCAATTATGTTTTCAACATATTTCGAAAAGATGCTAACCATACAACGCTGGAAAGTGGCTTGGGCATTACACAATCCGAATGGCATTCTACGGTATGCGGAAGTGCCAAATGGCATGTAAAAGTTGTCTTTTCTTGGTCCTCCGGTGCCACAAGAATTTGGTGAAAACCGGAGTACCCGTCTAGACAACAATAATGGGATTTCCTAGCCAACCTTTCTAACATTTGGTCAATGAAAGGAAATGGGAAATGATCTTTTCGTGTGCTTGCATTGAGTTTGCAGTAGTCAATACATACTCTCCACCCGTTTTGCACACGGGTGGGGACCATTATACCATTGTTGTTTTCGACCACCGTGATCCCCGTCTTCTTTGGAACGACTTGCACCGGGCTCACCCATTTGCTATCCGAGATTGGATAGATCATCCCCGCGTCTAGGAGCTTCAAAATCTCTTTCTTGACCACTTCCATCATCGGTGAATTCAACCTTCTTTGTGCGTCCCATTTCGGCTTGCATTCATCCTCCGTTAAGATCTTGTGCATACAAGTGGAGGGGCTCAATCCCTTGATATCCGCAATCGTCCATCCCATGGCTTCTTTATGCTCCTTCAACACCTTGACGAGTTCTTCTTCTTATTATTTAAGTGAGTTGAAATGATAACTGGAAGGGTTTCATTATTCCCCAAATAGGCATACTTCAAGTGTTGAGGTAAGACCTTCAATTCCAATTCAGGTGGTTGAATAAGGGATGGGGGCAATTCAACTTGCTTGACATCTAATCTTGTGGACTTCTTCATCTCCATTTTATTTACTAGCTTCTCAACTTTCGGATTCAAATAATAAAGCTTTAATTGCTCGGCTAGCTTTCCACAATCGAACCCTTTGCTTAAGACCATCTCCAATATATCACCATTGGATAACTCGAACAATTCTTGAGTAATTGGCTCGACAACATCAACAAAGTACAAAGATGAAACATCACTAGGATATCTCATGGCATCATAAATATTAAAACTTATTGTTTCACCATCAAACTCCATTGTCAAACTTCTCGCATACACATTTATCTTTGTCCTATCCGTCTTCAAGAACGGTCTCCCAAGCAAGATTAGAGCCGATTTGGATGATACTTGCTCATCTAGATCAATCACATAGAAATCCGCCGGGAAGACCAATTGGTTCACATGCACTTGGACATCTTCCAAAACACCTCTAGGAAAGACACTTGATTTATCCGCAAGAGAGATAATGACACCGGTTTCACTTAAGGGTCCGACATTCAATGATTCATACACTGAGTAGGGCATGACGTTGATAGAGGCACCAAGATCAAGCATAGCACTACTAAAACTAACATCTCCAATCTTGCAAGGAACCGTGAACATTCCGAGATCTTTGCA